AGCATAGAGATGCGACCGTGCTTGAGCTCAGTCTGACGACGGCGCTTGAAGTCCTCTACGCTGCCATCAGCTGTGAATCCGGCGGGGTCCCAAAATCCCACAGGAGCTTGGACACCCAACTCATTTTCAAATGCCCGCAATGGAGAAGCAGTGTAGTTGGCCCAGTCACCCCACGCGCTGCCAGTGAGTCCATCCTGTAACACAGCTTCACTTCATAACATGTTATATTGTTATATATATATATATTGTTTTTGTTGTTGTTTAATTTATATATGATATCACACGGTCGTTGTTTATGTGTTTTTCCTAACGTGATGAAGCACGTGCTGGCTTATTACAAAGGCAGTTCAATTGTGTGTGTGTGTATATATATATATACATACATATATATATATATATCAATGATGCAAACCGATTGCAAGTCCGACACATTGTGGCATGTTCAAAACATCTTCTCACACACACACAAAATCACACAAAACAGCTCCTTGCAAGACTCTCATTATAGTACTTTCTATTGTAAATGATGATGTGCAGCACCAATATCAACTTCCAAGTTGTTTGAGTGGTTCTAGCGCACGTCCCAAGCAAATTCTTCTTTTGGTTAAAAAAATAAACGGCTGCATGCAAAGGCACCTGGAAAAACATGCCGATGATGGCCATCATTGCAAGTCTTCCGTTGGCAAGTTCCGCTGACAATTTTTTTGGTCTTCTCTGCAGGATCGGATGAAGTCAAGACCTTGAAGCCAAAGTCTCCAGCGGCAGCAGGTGTGCCAGGAGACTGATCCTGGGAAACCTCGCAGAATGCCATGTAGGCCAAGATCTGTCCCCAGCCTGCTGCAGGCACCTTGGAGATTGCCGCGAGTCCGTTGGGCACGTCGGCAAATTTCAATCCCGCGGATGGGGACAAGTAGCCCGGCAACTTTCCAGTGATCCTCGGTCAACAAAACACGTGTTATGTAACAGGTCATTCTACAAACTTCCAACGGATACATGAAAAATCCTATATAATGCAAGAAAAGCTTTCAAGAGTTCTCATTGCTAACAAGGTAGATTGCACATGTTCCCTAAATGACACGTCATTGCCGATAAGTTTCTCCGGCGTAATGTAGCCCATTGTCGCGAGCATAGAGATGCGACCGTGCTTGAGCTCAGTCTGACGACGGCGCTTGAAGTCCTCTACGCTGCCATCAGCTGTGAATCCGGCGGGGTCCCAAAATCCCACAGGAGCTTGGACACCCAACTCATTTTCAAATGCCCGCAATGGAGAAGCAGTGTAGTTGGCCCAGTCACCCCACGCGCTGCCAGTGAGTCCATCCTGTAACACAGCTTCACTTCATAACATGTTATATTGTTATATATATATAT